AAAGTTTGAAGGGTCGGGTCCCGATTCCGCACACGGCCTGCACCAACGCGCGCTTTGCAGAAAGCTCTAATCAAAATTTTGAAATGTGCTTCCAAGTTTTTGTCCTCTGGTGTTGCCTTCACACCCTCCCCCATAATATCTTAAACCCCTAAAAAATCAATAATCTCCTCCCCTATTCCGTAGTCCTATACTTCGCAAGGCCGTTACTCCCACCAAAGACGGTCTTTGCTTACACTATGCCGCATTTATTTATGACATGAATGCGCGCAAGTTCAGTGACCGGTCACGATGGCGAGCCAGACAATCTAAAAATCGGACGACGCTTGTATTTTTTTTCCTTTTTTTTCCACAAGTGACAGCACAGAGGCGAGTCCGAGCAATGATTAAATTTTATTTGCACGGCGACCTTGCGTTTATACTGCACAACCTGCATGTCACAAAAGTTGCGTTATTAGACAACTGCTGGCAAACTACTCGGTGGTAACGAAAGCGAAAGTAGATCTTGATTTTCCCGATCGAGCCTCGGTGTCACATACGCTTCTGCCTGCCGCCATAGCTGAAGCTGCCTATTCGCGTGAAAGTGAAACGTACTCTCCGGACCAGGAGAAGCTGAACGAATATAATATCACGATCGTGACCGGCAAAAATAAACTTACTAACCACATCGGACTTGGTTTTCAAATATTCCAGTTCTGCGATACTGATACTATTTTGACAAAAGATGGGACTTGAGATAGGTTTACTCACCCAAGCTGAATCTCGTATTTTCCGCATTCCAGGGTGTACATTTTTTCATAAAAAGTCGTATTCGCGTATTTTCGGCAAAAAATCGTACTAAAATACGTAAAATCGTACTGGTTGGCTTCTCTGCTCCCCCAAGAGACTGTATACAAAGCAACTCCCATAGGTTGCCAGTTCTTACCCTGGACTTGATAGGAGCTTGTACCTCCAAGTTTTGAGATTCTGAGGGCACAGGCGAGATAAAAGAAGGCGTGGAACTACCAACATGAAAACTGGCTTGCTCCACTGGCAATAGACCAAAGCTGAAATAGAAAAAGTGAGTGAAACACATTGTCAACAGTAACTACAGACTACTGCTAAACTGAGCAACTGCTTTAGGTTGACGCTACTGAAGTCTTTACTTGAACTACTTTCCCTGTCCCAGTCAAGAAACACAATCTAGCAATGCCAATGAAAATTTAGTTTTTAGCTTTACCCTTTCTTTATCTGGTACCTAAAAAAGTTTTCAATTCTAAGATTTATGCTTTTTTAATTTTAAGAATCAGTTCATAAATAAAAAAAAGTTATGGGGTTGTAAAGGTCAGCAAAATATGGATGACCCACATATAGGAAAATACTCCCAAAAGTGGACCAAGCAGTAGCAAATGCAGTAAGATAATCGACGATATCTCAGTAATTAATTGGAGTGTCAGAGAGAAAATGGCTACCCAAAGTGTTTTTGGGCGGAGAAATCATTTCTGCAGTCAGATTTACTAAGCATTTTCTAGTTATTTTGTGACGATTAAAATTTTGGTGTACATATTTCGATTTTGCGAAAAGGGGGTGTCAGGATGAGAGCATTTTATTTGTAGCATTGTATCACAACATGGGATCTTCAAGAATATGTTGGCAGCGTGACTTAATAATGGCAAAGCTTTCTTTGATGACTTTAAACCATGCCAACCATAAAATATAATTTAATTCTATCTAGTCTGACATTCAATTACAACCTCTTTTTTCCCGTTGAGACGCGAACACCCCAAAGCTCGCCTCGGAATACCCCCCATTGTGATGTAACAGGGGAACAGAGAGAAAAACAACCAGATGCGCGTGCCCGCCATTGCCCTATTTCAAGTGACCAATGAACGGCCTCGGAAGTCATGCGGGGATTTGTAGGTCACATACATTTGCATAGGGAGTGAGGGGTAAATGGCCGGTCACCGTGCCAAGCCACTTTGGACAGGGCGGTAGTGGTACATCTATGATAAATTCTGCACAACTATTTGACACACAAGGTTCAAATTTTAGCACACTATAGACGAAAGATGGATCTCTTACCATCTTAGCGTCAAATATCAAATTCCTTAAATTTTTGGTGTACCCGATACGAAAGAGTTTCCGAAACCAAAAGTATAGGTTAATTTATGAGTACGAACTTCGACTTCCATATATCATTAGTTTGTCCTATTTTCTTATTGGTTGCCAACTTTCAATCACATTGGTCCAGAAATAGCGCAGAACGAGCTTGAGAAAGTTAGTCACTACTGTTCCGACCCAGTCCAAAAATTCACCAACAAACGGGGACCAAATTTTCGCTGCATTGATTCATTAATCATAACATGCAGTAAAATTGACATCAACCTTGACCGTAAAAAACTTTTTAAAAAGTAAATTTATCTTAGAAAGCATTATAGAAATGAAAACATGTTATCTTGTCAAAGACTAAGTGATGGCAAAACTGAAAAATTTTGCAACGGACAATCATTCATAGCCAGTGACACGAAAAGGTGAAGACATGACTGCATTTATTTGTGTACACATAAATAACCACCAAATAAAAAATAATCCAGATGTATGTGGGTGAGTTCATTAGTGAATGTGAACTATGTTGACATGTGTTATATTCAAGTAATGTTGTAACCTTATTTAAAATGTTTCTGAACTTGGATTCTTGACACTTTGGCAACTGTTGTTCAAGAGTTGAACTGCCTGTCTTATATGTGCCTGACTCTTAGCCACAAATAATTCCAAAGTCTATTTGAAAAAAATTATATCTTCCAGACACTGACATGCTAAGGAGGATATGAAACCCAGTGATTTAAAGTATTACATTTTTTCCTTCTAGCTTTTGGAAGGTATAGGTTAAAAAAAAAAGCATGCAAGTAATAATATGGCAACATTTCAATTGAGGTTACAACAAAATCCAATAGTTTTCACTGATCCATAGCATTTATAATCCATAAACTGCATATTTTGACAACTACTTTAGTCTGAATCATAGCCAGAGAATTCTAGAAGACAAACTAATCTACTTTTTCTGATTCAGATTGGGGAACCAAAACTCGAAATGTCCAGTTGTTCCCTCGCAAAAAGACCTCCTCATAACAGAAAATCTTCAGAAACAATCAAATGGTTCCCCTTCTCTTTGACATTTTCGTGCATTTACTGCTTTCATCACATCATTTTCATGACACAATCACTGTCACATAGTTCCCTGAAAAGTATCCAGACCATAGACTCGTTACCTTGGAGAGGCTAGCACGGGATTGGGGAATAGTTTCATGGGAACAGTGGCCTTCCTCATCTGTGAAGGGTCAGGGGTCAGAGACGGTTTCTGTTTGTTCGGCCTTGGGGCGCGCCTCACTTCCTGCAGCAACGGCTCGTTCTGACTGTTGTTGTCGGGCGTCTCGTTCGGACAAATGTTCCGAGGAGATAACAGTTGCAGCTGTTAAAACCACAAAGTAAAAAAAGTTAAAAACTTTTAATTCAACACCTTTCCACTTTCAGAACTGTTCATTGCTAAATGCATGACGCATTAAAACCCTAGGCATCAATAAATATATATTGAAATACAAGGAGAAATCTCAACCAGTGTAATTTTCAATTATGTAAATTTTTAACAGAAAAAACAAAACAAACACAAAAATTCATTGATGTCAAAAGGAATGTATGCTGATACTAAAGTCATGCCTACAAAAAAAAAAAAAATTATACCGAAGCCCTTTGCTACAATCTGCATTGAAATTTACAATGCGCTGTACATTTTCATCTCCACACAACACTCTTATAAAAGTACCAAACTGAATTTTTTCTTTTTTTCAACTGTGGCTCAACCTACCACGCATTAGCACCCAAAAGCGACCAAAGAAGCAAGAGAGGGTACCGATAAGAACACGGTTACAAAGTTTTAGAACTCACATTTTCACTGGCAGCCACAATGTTTGCAGAGACTGCCTCACTCGTTTGTTCACTGAGAGTCGCTGGATCACACGGGGGAGCCACCGTTCCAGCTGCCGTCTGTTCAGGAATTTGAAATACTGTCTCTGGTTTCACATTTTCACCTGAAAAATTATTAAACAAATAGTAGTCGAACCTGCATAAGATGGAATCGCAAGGGAGCCAGAAAAAAATTGCGTCTTAGACATTTTCCGTCTTAGACAGGGGAATATAGAGGGAGGTAGGGGGGCTCAAAGGCCCTGCCGGTGGGATCAAGGATCGCTTGTCCGATCAGCAAGCAGTGGTCAAAACTTCACACCACTCAACTGCTATCCAGTCAGATAATGACATGCGTCACTCTTACTTATCCAATTACTACCAGTGCTCAGCTTTCATAGGACCACTGTTTGACGTATTAAAAATAGAAACGTTTGAATATCTCCTTTGCTTCCACCCTTAGCCTCACCCATCGGTGTTACAAGCACAATCAACCAATGCCACCTTTCACTGCCATCAAGTAACAACGATTCGAGGAACTCTTTTCTTAGGGTGGTAGGGCATCAGTCAAACTAATTTCACACCTCTGGCTTCTGGCTACCCAGGAAGGTTTCCGTAGTGGCTCGCTACTCAAGCACCCTCACAGGCAATCGTGAGATTTTACACCCACACTACCCTGACCATCTGCATCACCCAGGGCTCACATGATAGGGTAACATCTACCCCCAAATTGCACCCCTACGCCCCTTCCTCGCCTAGCGGATTGGCCGTGGCATTAAGTTTAGAGCTGGCGGAACCAAACTTGCGAATTTTGTTTCAAATATGGGCTGAGCGGGCAAAGAATATTATTTCCGTCTTAGACAGGTGAAACCCTCGGCAGGGAGCGGATTTTTTTTCCCATTTCCGCGTTGGACAGGTTTCCGTTTTATACAGGTAATTAAAGAAGAACATAACAAGGGGGGAACGGGGAGATTTCATTAAGACAGGTTTCCGTTAAGGCAGGTTCGACTGTATATCAAATGAGTCACTCTCACCTTTGATAAAAACATTTTGTGATATTGGCAGACAAAGATCCCAATTTTCTGTGTAAACACATGCGTCTTCCTTCCCAAAATCATAAACACATTATGCAAAACCCTTCCCCTCACATTCTCTTTCTAAAGCTCAAGGCGAAAATTTAAAAAAAAATTCCAGTACAAAAATACCAAACGAACATTTACCCATTGAGCACAGCATTTCATATGACTTCCACAGCAAAGGATTAAGCTTCAGGGACCTACGGTAGCACTGTGCTGCTTTTGAGGCTCTTTCAGTCTTGCTGTAGAAGACAAAGCAAATAAACAATATACAAGTGACAATTGACGTTTAGTCAGTTTAAAAAATGACATGATTAAAAAATCGACTCACATGAGGCAACACTGCTTGAAATCTCTCAAACATCATCATAAATTCCTCACTTCATCTGGCCTCCAAATTGTGACGGTCTACGACTTAGAAAAGCCCAATAGTACTAACTCATATGGAGCAAAAACAATGTGGAGATCAACAGAGAAAAACCCACTTTCAAGCCAACATTTCAGCTCCAACACTGGAAACCAAACTCAATAGCATATATGAAAATAAGAAATCCAATAATTTTTAGGACTTTACTCACTGTAATCCACACCCAACTCCATATCCCCCTCACAATAAGCTTCTCAATGGGATGAGTTACACTTTTATGCAAGTTTCTAGTCACTAGTTTCATTTGAATGCTGACCAGAAAGAAAAAAGGACTCCATTGACATGTCTCCCTTAAAATTTACACTGTGAAAATTATTCAACTCAACGGAAAAATTATCTCACCTATAAATAAATCCCAGCAATGCAAAAACATAGCATGCCATGCTGCCAAATTCTGCTTCAATGTCCTCATGAGACTTCATCTTAGTCAAAATAGTCCCAGCAAGCAGTTTTTCTGCTTCAGCAAACCTGAAAATAAAGACAAAAAATTATCACATCTACAGTTTAATTTAAAAAACAACCCCCCCCCCCCTCCCCCCCAAAAAAAATAAACCATGAAGATTTCACTCAACCATATTGTTTTTGTACATAAAATATAAGGGAAATCCAATCCATTTTAAGTTTTGGTTCAGTTTTAGTAAGAAGAGTTTAACAGCACTTGCATCATAATCAGGTCATTATAAGGGCTGAAGATTAGAGGTATTAATTGGGGGTGTAACATACAAACAAAAGAAGGAGAGATAAGGAAGATAGATTTCTTGATAGGAAAGGAGCAAACCGCACCAGACCACCAGCCAACCACCAACTAATCCATTTTCACACTGAACAACAGGCCTAGCAAACAAGATAAAAGAGAAACAATAACGCTTGTTGTTTTTTTAGTCCATGCCAGCTTTAAGCACCATTATCGAGAGAAAGCATAAGCGTGCTTAATGCCGAAGCATGCAGGAGTGCGAAGTAAACATTGTCATAACCAAGAGACTTTTATTATGCAGAAAATGTCCTGAGTCATTTCCATTTGTTCCTAAGTCGTGGTCCTTGTCATTTTTACAGGCCATGGTAGTTTTTGTTTGTTTTGTTTTCTGGTTGAACGGGAAAGGAAAACTTAATTTAGACGGCCAGTCACGATACAGCACACTAGGTCCACACACTACCTGTACGTACCACTGCCTTCACCTCAGGCGTGATACATAATCAGGATTATCGGATGAGGGACAAAGGTGAAATTGCAGCCAGCCTCCCTTTCTCGTCTCCTCTACTCTCTTTGTATTTTTTTCGTCTGTGTGTAGCTCTTTGCCTTCCTCTACACGTGTGAGTGTTTAGTGTTTGTCTCCATTACTTGCATTCTTTGTGTTGACCAACAGGTAACAAATTTTCAGCTGCAGGTGAGGAAAGTGTGTCTTCCCTCATAACCCATAAGCCCCGCCCAGAACTCATACACAAATCGTGGGTGAGATCAGTGGTCACTGTTTACCCAGTCTGTAACAAAGTAACAATGGACGTCAACACGAACATGTGACAGAAGCGTCGCTTGTTCTCTGAGTGGTGGCGACCCATGTGTTTGTTTTAACATAGCACTCGGTCTTCCTTGTCTGACACATTTAGTTTTATTGTCACCCTTGCACAAAAGCAGCAACAAAAGAAAAAAAATCCCAGGGACAACAACAACAATAACAATGCGGCTACCTTCGGTTGGGACCTTAGATGGGAATGGTTTGTTTTCTTCATCTTCAGCAGACCTGCCTAAGACGGCCACGGCCACTTTTTTCCTTGACAATGGGTGGCCGTCTTACACAGGTTCAACTGTACATAAATACGGCGATGCTAGCTTTGTCTAAACATTTCAATTTTGCCACGAATGGCGGCTTCATTGCTTTTGATGGGTGTTGAAGCTTGAAAGATGTCTCCAAAATGCAAATTCACAGCTTAGGAAGTACTGCAAAAAATGGCGCAGGATTGTGAGAGTGAAGTAGACTATTCTGATGAAAGTGACTCTGAATGTTGTTGGTGTTGTTGTTAGCGATCCAGTAGCATCTGAGCGTTAACTCTTCTGCATGATGCCATTCGACAATAGTTGCATGTTTGTTTTAATTGTTTTCTTGAGGAGTAGAGGCAATTAGATGTGTGGGGTAGCTTGGGAAGAAAACATCCCCTTAAATCAGTTAGTTTTCTACAGAAGAACAGATGATGTTCCACTGTTTCTGAGGGGTAGTCACATAGTGGGCAGGCAGCAGACTGCTTTACTCCAATTCGGTTGAGATGTGACTCTGAATCAAGTGCCGTAAATCCCGTTGTGAATGATGACGAACACGAATTAGACTCATCCAGTAGTGAATCAGATCATGGTGAACGGACTACTACTGGAATTCGTGCAGTACCGATGGGTGGAGGTAGGGGTAGATCTAGGCCTGTAAATCCAAGGGGACGTCGTGGTGTGAGAAGGGGGCATGGCAACCAGGTTCAAGATGTGACAAACACAAAAGGGGGGAGGAATACTCCTCAAAATATAAATGGTGCAATTGGTGAAATTCCTAACTTTACTGGTGAACCGGGAATAAAGAAGACAGAGTCTGATCCTGAGAGCTCAGTGGATTATTTCCGTCTCTTCATTGACGACCACATGTGGAGACTATTTGTTGCAGAAACAAACGTTGACATACCCGAAATGAAACAGTTTGTGGCCTTACTAACGGCAACAGGATTTATTGACAAGCCATACTGGAGCTTGAATAGCATCCTGCACACACCAGTCTTTCCAAAGGTCAGCAGACTTCTTCTTCCCCATTTTGTTTACGTGTTTATTATAATATGATCCAAAATGTAAGCCTGCATATACTTACTATTGAGTGCATTAGATCTACTTTCAACGTTATCCCGAAAATGATAGTCTAGACCTAAAGATGTACAAGTACTGTACCAATTAGAATTTTTGTAGTTGAAAGTAAATCTAAATTTAGAGTCACACCTAGTTATGAGAATTTTTTAAATCAAAATGCCAACTGATTTTCACGGGCAATGTCAACCAAACGAGTAGCATTATAATGATGCAAGAAGCTAGATCTATCAGCTGTTTTATAATTTATTTCCCACAGACCCTACTTTGCACCCTGTTACGGTTAGTATGTTACACTGGTAGCCTAATATGTAATTTGTAAATTTATAGAGGTGGTACGGACATAGTCTTCTAATTTGAGTTCTGTTTGTTTCATTTCCCCAGATTATGCCCAGAGACCGATTCTTTGCCATTTTAGGTTTCTTTCATGAGGAAAATAATAATGATCATGCCCCAAGAGGAACTGAGGGATTCGACAAACTTTTTAGAATCCAACCTCCGTACGATCATCTCTACAAGGCTTTTGCTGACGCGCACAACCCAATGGAAAATGTTGCTGTCGATGAAAGTACCGTGCCATGGCGTGGCATAGTTTCATTTCGGCAGTTTATTCCGAAAAAACCAGTTCGGTATAGCATGAAACTATGCTGCGTGTCTGAAAGCAGTTCTGTATACATCGTGAATTTAAAATTCTACTCGGCGCAGAAGCTGGAAGACCAGAGGGAGGACATGGGCCAAATGTAGTGAAAGAACTCTTGGAACCATATTTCAACAAAGGCCATACTGTTTTTAACCGATTCCTTCTTCACGTCTATCGACCATGTCAATTTCACAAAGAAAATAGAACAAAAGCCAGTAGGACCATTGTGAAAAACTGAAAAGACAACCCTCCAGATATTACGGCGACAACCTTCAAAGTGAGAAAAGGTGACCATGTCGTTTGCCAACGTAATGGTAATGTGGCTGTCCATTTACAACGACAGAAAAGATCTTAAGATCGTTTCTAATTAAATAAATTTACAGGAAAACTTGTTAACACTGGCAAAACAGTGAGACACACAAATGACCCCATACACAAGCCAGAAGCAGTAAAAGAGTACAATAAGCATATGAACGTAGTCGATAAGTTCGACCAAATAATGAGTTATTACTCATTCAGAAGGAAAACTAAGAAGTGGTGGAAAAGGAAAGCCACACATTTCCTACACCTAGCTAAAATACAGGCCTTTTTCCTGTACAAAAAAAGGGCTACAAGTCCAATGAACCAAATCGACTTCACGTTGTCTCTAATAAAACAGCTCCTGGAGCCAGAGGTGAATACACCTGATGCGGCTGGCGATGCAGCGGCAGAAGGGGCAGTTCCTGACGCCCAACCTCCACCTGCAGATGACCGTCCAACTACAGCACCAAGGACCCCAGCTCCTTTGATCTTAGAAAGGCTCAGCCACTCTACTAACCCTCTACTAAGCATCCCTGCCACCCTGTACTCTGGACAGCGAAAGGGGTACATCCGAAGGAAAGAGACTTGCTTCCAGTGCAGCTCTTGTAAAGTGGCTCTGTGCGTAGAACCTTGCGACAGAATCTACCACACACACAGAGACTATGAAAGAGAGATCAGGAGGTTCTACCAGATGGAATGACAAAGGATTATATGGGCTACTTCATGACGGATATGAGCATGACACTGGTAAGTAGAAAACTACTTCACTGCCTTATATACTAATCTTTCACCCATGTTATGCATAACAGTTGTTTTGTTTATTTTGTGGTGTTACTAAATATAACATTTTCTAACAAAATATCAACTTCATTATTACTTTTTGTGGATGATACAATTTTATTCTTGGCATGTTGTAATTTTTTTCAATGTACAGTCGAAACTGCCCTGACGGCCACCTCTATAAGACGGCCACCTGTACAAACGGACACTTTCCATTTCCCCCCCTGCGGTTTTTCTATATAATTTAACTGTGTAAAACGGGCACCTGTCCAACGCAGCCGCGGCCACCATATTTCAACACACAACCCCTATCACACAAAGCAATAACACCTGTCTTAGACGGCCATCTTAGTGACTACATTACGCTTTGTCATAAATCAAGCATTGGCCCCTGGCGTTGTGGACGAGCCGTCATAATTTAAAAACCTGTCGTTGTTAGGTAGTCCCTACAACTGATCATGTTGCATAGGCCCCTCCCACTGCTGACCAATAGGTAACAAAATTAATTTTCAGCTGCTGGGGAGGGAAGCGTGTGATCCCTCATAACCCATAAGCCCCGCCCAGAATCCATACACAAATTATCACAAGTGAGATGAGTGGTCACTGTTTACCCAGTCTGTAACAAAGTAACAATGGACGTCAGCATGAACTTGAGACAGAAGCATTGCTTGTTCTCCGAGTGGTAGTATGTGTGTTTGTTTTACTATAGCACTTGGTCCTCCTTGTTTGACAAATTTCATTTTATTGTCACCCGTACACAAAAGCAGCAACAAAAGAAAAGAAAACCCAGCGAAAACAACAACAACAATGTAACTACCTTCGGTTGGGACCTCAGAAAGGGAGGGTTTGTTTTCTCAAAAAGGAATGGTTTGTTTTCTTCTTCTTGATCAGTCCTGCCTAAGACGGCCACCTGTC